TACAATGCCTTCTCTTGTGCAGCCTGTCTCTTTCTGTTTCTCTCCCATTTTTTGTAGCTATGAGAGCATACACAGGCCCTCTCCACTTTCCTTCTGTCCCTTCCCGCAGCAGTTTTTCTTCTGGTCTCATGCCACCTCCAATCTCAGAGCCTTCACATATGCTGATTTTTTTATGTGGAAAGTTTTCTACGTCCATTTCACATCACTGCTTAACTTCTGCTCACTCTTGACACTTTAGTTCACTTTTTCTCAGAGAATGTTTTGCTTCCTATGCCACAATCCAGGTTATTCTCTCTGCTTTCTCTTTATAGCAAGTGTTACAGTTTTTATTACCTTCTTTTGAAATTACTTGGTAAATTCATAACCTCCAATGTTACACCCCTTGAGGTATTTGAATAAAATAACCCCCATTTTATTCATCATTTCATTTTTAGCACATACTACCATATGTGATGAAAAGAAGATTATCAAAATATGCTTGCTGAATGAAATGAACATAAAGGTTATCCTGGAGAGTTGACTAATTCTCAGTCAGAAATGGAAGAGGGGTGGTTTAAAGGAGAATGATGGAGGGGGCGAGTTCAACTAAGACATAATGTAAATGTCACAATGTATTCCCAGTACAATAATATGATAGTTAAATAATAATAAATGGAAAGGAATATTTAAAAATGTGGAATGGGTAATGAGATGAGGAGTGGATTAAAATTAGAGAATGGGGCTGTGGGATTCTTCTGTTGTTGGAATGAAAATTATACCAGATAATTCATTTGGTTTTGGTAATGAAAGGTTCTATATTATGGAAATTTAAACCTTTATCCAACTTGCCCTCTTTCTCCACAGTTGATCACAAGAAATAAAGGTAGAAATTAAAACAAAAGCACAAATAGACTACTTACCAAACTTGGAATTCAAATGTACATTTGCATGTAGGTCAGGACAGGACAACCACTAAAATACATAGTTTGAATAAATACCTGATTATCACTTTCGTTTTTTAAAAATGATATTTTAGGTATCTCTTTAGTTTCTATAACTTGTGCCAAACACCAAACTGAACTTATTTTTTATCTTTGAAGTAGAACTTGCAAATTTTAAAAAAATGTGTTTTTAATTAATGCATAACAATTGTTAACGCATAACCCTCTATATTTAGAGGGTGCAGTGCGGCAATTATATACATTTATATAGTGATTCTTCCTATACTTTTATTAAACATTTTGATTAACTCATTTAACCTAAACTCTGGAACAGTATCCTTTAACACTACAAGCATCAACAGTTAGTACACAAGTATACTGGGACTTAATTATTTAAATAAACACATTTAAGTAAAAGATCAGATGTTTGGTAACAATTAGATTTAACCATCAAGACACTATATGCATGACACATTAACAGAAACACAAGCCATAAAAGTCTATAACTATGTAGTTAAATTAATCTAATTGAATGATCCTAAGTTGTATTAAGAGCCAGATAAATATTTTAAAAGAGCACCCCTTTGTCACCAGCTAAAGTAAATTAAAATTAAAAAAAATTAAGCCACAAATCATATCTTGTTTTGGAGAGATAAAACAATCTTTTCATCTGCTAGTTGGATAACCTCTGCCAGACATTTATCTTGCTGAGGCTATTTTCATATATTAAATGGGAGAGAAAATATTATTTATCTTATTGGATTTGTATAAAACAGTAACAGAGATGCTATGTAGAAGTGTTTAAGCTTATCAGCTTTCTCTCTATTTGACTCTTAGATAGTCATTTGTCCAAACAGAAATGGAATCTCGAAATTAGTCAAGAGACTCTTGAATTTTCCAGATTGATGCCCTGTACCAGTGGACTTCTGATTTACTAAGATGTCTTTTTGGAAAGTTTGTAAAAGTACAAATAATTTGATCCTAAATTTAGGAAATTAAATTCAGTATTGAATTAAATTATTATTGGAATTTATCATAGCAAAATAAGTAAATCAACTCTACTCATTAATAGTAGTGGGAAATAAGAAAATTTTGCTATATCCTTCAACCTTTTTCAGCATTGAACAAGTCATTAGAATATGAGATGCTGGTAATGCTGAGGTTAAAATAATCCAAAGTTGGTTTTTTTTAACCTTTTCCTTTAGACTACTGAAGTTTTTCTGTTCCACCTCATGTCAGACTGACTTTCCTAATTTATTTCTAAGCGAAGATTAATGCTCTAACACTAATGACCACTAATTGATTCCTTATCATTTGCAGCATTAAATTCTGATAAATATAGAGAAAACTTTGCTGTACTCAGATGAAGACTTATATACAACTCAAACAATATGTCTCAGAATATTATTGCCATGGGAAGTTTATCACAATATGGTACTTAAGAGAAAAGCAGTATTCGATATGGGCCTTCTGTTCTTCATTTTGAATATTTATGCATAGAAAATTGATCAGAAAAACATAGAACATCAGCAGAGATTTTTCTGTGGTGAACAATAAAGGTTATTATTGTTTGCAAACATTTCTATGTTTTCCAAAACAAACACATTAATTTTAGTCAGAATAAAGCATGACAGATTTTATATTAACATTCAAAGAAGGAAAGGAAGTGCAGAAATGGTCAGAAAAAAGCCTTATCGTGGAATGATTTCACCAGGAGCACAGAGATTCTCCTATAAACTGTATTCCATAACATATATCTATATTTTACCAAGAAAGTGCAAGTGGGCTTGATTCAGTCACTTGTTAACAGAGAACTCTCAGGATGTATGGTATCTTTTGTGATTTTCTTTTTAATTTAAAATCACCAGTACTGTGTATTATATAAAGATTTAATTTATGAGTGAATGGTTAGAAATATTTACATATGACTTGGGTGCCAGGTATGAACTATGGTTTGCAAAACCTGCTCTCTTATGTTTGGCACCTGATGTAGATGGTGATAACTTCATTTGTAATTCTTTTGTTTACTTGTTTTTCAGGCTACTGCATCATATAATTATTGTACTTTATGCTAGTCTTTGCCCAATTCCCTATAGGAAAGCAGACAACAGCATGGAAGGAAAGAATCAAACCACTCTATCAGAATTCATCATCTTGGGATTCTCCAACCTAAATGAGTTACAGTTTTTACTATTTACCATCTTCTTTCTGACTTATATATGTACTCTGGGAGGAAATATATTCATCATTTTGGTGACCATGGCTGATCCACATCTACATTCACCTATGTATTATTTCCTAGGGAACTTGGCCTTTCTTGACATCTGCTATACCACCACCAATGTCCCCCAGATGATGGTGCATCTTCTATCAGAGAAGAAAAGCATTTCCTATGGGGGCTGTGTGGCTCAACTTTTTGCATTCATTTTCTTTGTGGGATCAGAATGTCTCCTTCTGGCAGCAATGGCATATGACCGTTACATTGCAATCTGCAAACCCCTATGGTATTCAGTTATCATGAGCAAGGCCCTTTATAGTCAGTTAGCAGCCTCATGCTGGACTTGTGGTTTCCTCAACTCATTGGTGCACACAGTACTGACATTCTGTTTGCCCTTCTGTGGCAACAACCAGGTTAATTATTTCTTTTGTGATATTCCACCTTTACTGATCCTGTCTTGTGGAGACACATCTGTCAATGAACTGGCTTTACTCTCCACTGGGGTCTTCATTGGCTGGACTCCCTTTCTGTGCATCATCTTTTCCTACCTTTACATAATTTCTACCATTTTGAGAATCCGCTCTTCAGAGGGGAGACACAAAGCCTTTTCTACGTGTGCCTCACACCTGGTCATTGTCCTTCTCTATTATGGTAGTGCCATCTTCACATATGTACGTCCCATTTCATCGTACTCACTAGAGAAAGACAGACTGATCTCAGTATTGTATAGTGTTGTTACCCCCATGCTAAACCCTATAATTTACACATTGAGGAATAAGGACATCAAAGAAGCTGTGAAAGCTATAGAAAGAAGGTGTCAGCCACTGATTCTTTCTTATGATATGTAAGCTTGCTTATCTGTGATCAATAATCTTATGTTAGATTAAGAACCAGCATCTGTTTCTAGTTGCACTCAACTTAAAATTTAATTGCAATGTTGGGACAAAGACTGAACAGTTGACACACTCAATCTTGTCTACATGTTCTTTAGCTTTTGTTAGTCCTGTGTGAGAGACATAATGGTTACTCTTTTTAGATATTAGTTTATCTTTTCTGTACTTGAGTACTTTATCCAGAAGTGGTATCCTCTTTCATGCAATATTTGTTTGGTGGAGTTCATTACTTGATACCTTATTTTCTATATGTGGAAGAATGTGCAAAATGCCTCTTTTGTGTCTATCTTATTTCTTTATTCTTACTACTCAAGTCATGCTTTGTAATTTCCTGACTAAATTCTTTCTAATAAACCATCATCACCAATAGATTAAGTTCACATTATTCTGATTTGGAAAAAGAAATGTAATCATGATGAAGTGATGTTTCACCTCTATATCTGTGGGCAATTAATTTAAGTTCTGTCATCTGTTACATGGGCTGAAGTCACCATATCTTCACATTGAAAAAAAGATAATCATAGAATTTCAATTGAGTTTAGATTCCTTTTATTTTTGGTGGTACTGGGGCTTGAATTCAGAGCTTCACACTTGGTAGGTAGGCACTCTACCACTCAAACCACTCTATCAGCTCTAGTTTATATTCCTTACTCAGTCCAAAAGTATAAAATGTTAAAGAGATTTTTATTGGAGTACATCCACATGACAGATTACTATTTCATAGGTTATCTTAAATTCTGGGGAATTTATTTTATTTATTTTTTTTCCTTTTTTTTTCTTTTATTATTCATATGTGCATACAAGGCTTGGGTCATTTCTCCCCCCTGCCCCCCACCCCCTCCCTTACCACCCATTCTGCCCCCTCCATCTCCCCCCCACCTCCACAATACCCAGCAGAAACTATTTTGCCCTTAATTCTAATTTTGTTGTAGAGACAATATAAGCAATAATAGGAAGGAACAAGGGTTTTTGCTGGTTGAGATAAGGATAGCTATACAGGGCATTGACTCACATTGATTTCCTGTGCGTGTGTGTTACCTTCTAGGTTAATTCTTTTTGATCTAACATTTTCTCTAGTACCTGTTCCCCTTTTCCTATTGGCCTCAGTTGCTTTAAGGTATCTGCTTTAGTTTCTCTGCGTTGAGGGCAACAAATGCTAGCTAATTTTTTAGGTGTCTTATCTATCCTCACCCCTCCCTTGTGTGCTCTTGCTTTTATCTTGTGCTCAAAGTCCAATCCCCTTGTTGTGTTTGTCCTTGATCTAATGTCCGCATGTGAGGGAGAACACACGATTTTGGTCTTTTGGGCCAGGCTAACCTCACTCAGAATGATGTTCTCCAATTCCATCCATTTACTGGCAAATGATAACAGTTCGTTCTTCTTCATGGCTGCATAAAATTCCATTGTGTATAGATACCACATTTTCTTAATCCATTCGTCAGTGGTGGGGCATCTTGGCTGTTTCTGTAACTTGGCTATTGTGAATAGTGCCGCAATAAACATGGGTGTGCAGGTGCCTCTGGAGTAATCTGTGTCACAGTCTTTTGGGTATATCCCCAAGAGTGGTATTGCTGTATCAAATGGTAGATCAATGTTTAGTGTTTTAAGTAGCCTCCAAATTTTTTTCCAGAGTGGTTGTACTAGTTTACATTCCCAGCAACAGTGTAAGAGGGTTCCTTTTTCCCTGCATCCTCGCCAACATCTGTTGTTGGTGTGTTGCTGATGATGGCTATTCTAACAGAGGTGAGGTGGAATCTTAGTGTGGTTTTAATTTGCATTTCCTTTATTGCTAGAGATGGTGAGCATTTTTACATGTGTTTTTTGGCCATTTGAACTTCTTCTTTTGAGAAAGTTCTGTTTAGTTCACTTGCCCATTTCTTTATTGGTTCATTAGTTTTGGGAGAATTTAGTTTTTTAAGTTCCCTATATATTCTGGTTATCAGTTCTTTGTCTGATGTGTAGCTGGCAAATATTTTCTCCCACTCTGTGGGTGTTCTCTTTAGTTTAGAGTCCATTTCTTTTGATGAACAGAAGTTTTTTAGTTTTATGAGGTCCCATTTATCTATGCTATCTCTTAGTTGCTGTGCTGCTAGGGTTTCATTGAGAAAGTTCTTACCTATACCTACTAACTCCAGAGTAGTTCCTACTCTTTCCTTTATCAACTTCAGAGTTTGGGGTCTGATATTAAGATCCTTGATCCATTTTGAGTTAATCTTGGTATAGGGTGATATACATGGATCTAGTTTCAGTTTTTTGCAGACGGTTAACCAGTTTTCCTAGCAGATTTGTAAGAGGCGGCTATTGTTCCATCGTATATTTTTAGCTCCTTTCTCAAAGACAAGTTGGTTATAGTTGTGTGGCTTCATATCTGGGTCCTCTATTCTGCTCTACTGGTCTTCAAACATACCCTGAAAAACCTAAAAGCATATATTAACACCAACACAGTGGTTGTGGGAGACTTTAACACCCCATTATCATCAATAGATAGGTCATCCAAGCAAAAATTCAATAAAGAAATCAAGATCTAAATAATATACATAGATCAAAATTGACCTAGCTTGATGTCTACAGGAACATTTCATCAAACTTCTTACACAATATACAATTCTTCAGCAGGCAGCCCATGGAACCTTCTCTCAACATAGATCATATCCTAGGGCACAAAGCAAGCCTCAGCAAATATAAGAAAATAGAAACTATACTGCCCATGCTATCTGATCACAATGCAGTAAAAGTAGAACTCAACAACAAAAGTAAACACAAAAAACATGCAAACAGCTGGAAACTAAATAACTCATTACTAAATGAACAATGGATCATTGATGAAATAAAAGAGGAAATTAAAAAGTTCCTGGAAAGTCAATGAAAATGAAAACACCAACCTACCAGAACCTATGGGGACACAGCAAAGGCAGTCCTGAGAGAAAAGTTTATAGCCATGAAAGCATATATTAAAAAGACTGAAAGATCCCAAATCAATGACCTAATGATACATTTCAAACTCCTAGAATAACAAGAACAAGTAAATCCCCCCAAAAATAGAAGGTGAGAAATAATAAAAATAAGAGCTGAAATCAACGAAATAGAAACCAAAAAAACCATGCAAGAATTAATGAAACAAAAAGTTGGTTCTTTGAAAAATAACAAGATTGATAGACCCTGGCAAACCTGACTAAAATGAGGAGAGAAAAAAACCCAAATTAGTAGAATCAGGAATGCAAAAGGGGGGGAGATACCAACAAACACCATGGAGTTCCAGGAAATCATCAGAGACCACTTCGAAACCTATATTCAAATAAATTTGAAAATCTTAAAAATAATGGAACAGATTTTAGATACATATGATCATCCAAACTGAACCAAGAGGATATTAATCACATGAATAGATCTAAAACGCAAAATGAAATTGAAACAGCAATCAAGAGTCTCCCCAATAAGAATGGTCCAGGACCTGATGGATTCTCTGCTTAATTCTACCAGACCTTTAAAGAAAAACTGATACCAACCCTCCTTAAACTGTTCCATGAAATAGAAAGGGAAGGAAAACTGCCAAACACATTTTATGAAGCCAGTATTACACTTATCCCAAAACTAGAAAAAGACACCACCAAAAAGGAGAACTATAGGCCAATCTCCTTAATGAACATTGATGCAAAAATCCTCAACAAAATAATGGCAAACCAAATTCAACAACACATCAAAAAGATTGTTCACCACGACCAAGTAGGCTTCATCCCAGGAATGCAGGGGGCTTCAACATATGAAAATCAATAAACGTAATAAACCACATTAACAAAAGCAAAGACAAAAACCTCTGGATCATCTCAATAGATGCAGAAAAAGCCTTTGATAACATCCAACACTATTTCATGATAAAAGCTCTAAGAAAACTAGGAATAGAAGGAAAGTAACTCAACATTATAAAAGCTATATATGACAAATCTACAGCCAGCATTATACTTAATGGAGAAAAACTGAAAACCATTCCTCTAAAATCAGAAACCAGACAAAGATGCCACTAATCTCCACTGCTATTCCAACATAGTACGGAATTCCTAGCCTGAGCAATTTAGGAAGAAGAAGGAATAAAAGGAATACAAATAGGTAAAGAAACTGTCAATTAATCGTATTTGCAGACGGCATGATCTTATACCTTAAAGACCCAAAAAACTCTACTCAGAAGCTTCTAGACATCATCAATAGCTACTGCAAAGTTGCAGGATATAAAATCAACATAGAAAAAATCATTAGCCATTTCTATACACTAACAATGAAAGCAAACTGAAAAGAATGTATGAAAACAATTCCATTTAAAATAGCCTCAAAAAAATCAAATACCTAGGTGTAAACCTAACAAAGTGTGAATGACCTCTACAAGGAAAACTATACAACTCATTGAAGAAAAAGATTGAGGAAGATACAGAAAGTGGAGAGAATCTCCCATGCTCATGGATTGGTAGAATCAACATGAAATGTCTATACTTTCAAAGTAATCTACATGTTTAATGAATTCCCATCAAAATTCCAATGACATTCATTAAAGAGATTGAAAAAATCTACCGTTAAATTTATATGGAGACACAAGAGGCCACGAATAGCCAAGGCAATACTCAGTCAAAAGAACAATGCTGGAGGTATCACAATACCTGACTTCAAACTATATTACAAAGCAATAACGATAAAAACAGCATGGTACTGGCACAAAAACAGACATGAAGACCAGTGGAACAGAATAGAGGACCCAGATATGAAGCCACACAACTATAACCAACTTATCTTTGACAAAGAAGCTAAAAATATACAATGGAGAAATAGCAGCCTCTTCAACAAAAGCTGCTGGGAAAACTGGTTAGCAGTCTGCAAAAAACTGAAACTAGATCCATGTATATCACCCTATACCAAGATTAACTCAAAATGGATCAAGGATCTTAATATCAGACCCCAAACTCTTAAGTTGAT